GGGAGGGGGTCCTTTACATATAAAGTAATCAGAAACACTTTATTTTACACTGCAAAAATAACCATGTAATTACTCTGTAACTACATTGTAAATACATGGCCAGTGCCATGCCAGCGTGATAGAACTACAGGCTTAATCCTTTTGCAAACTGAAGTGATACCCTAAGATTTGTAAACTAATTGCATGTTAATTATGTTTGGAGTGACATGGTAACTCCAACTACAAATCCCATGTAATCGGAAGGACATGTAATCACTATCTAAGTACAGAGTAATATATGTAATTGTTTATGCCCTGTAAATTGAAGTGTAACCAAATAATCTGTAAACACGCTTGTCACACAATCACAAGTGAATATTAGTAGAATAACAATTTCTTACATTAGTCATGCATACTAACATTACATGCCTGCCACATAGCAGGCTTGCTTTTATTTCTTTAAATATAATTTAAAAGAGCAGACACCTTTCTGCATCAAACACCTAACATCAATTTGTTAATATTAAAAATGGCTAAACATTCACCAAAAACATCTGCATTTGTGTATAATTTTTAAAAACCTAGTAAGAAGCGGTAGACAATTTTGATGTTACTTTACTTTTAAATTTCTACACTACATTTATGCATTTAATTTTTGAGGGTCTAAAGACTGTCATTTGTCACTTTCATGCTTTTTTTCTTCTTTAATTCTCAACTTTACATATACTATTTCTTAAATTATATGTACACCAAATACATGGTGCTGGGCTAAGATGTTTAAGCAACATGCTTTCTTTTCTCTGCAGATTCTAAAATAGCATTGCCAGTGCACAACATCCATAATTCAAAATGTATGCAGAGCACTGAAATGTATAAAAAGCAGAATATAAGAAAATAAAATTTATTAAAATTATTTATATTAAAAAATGAAGTATATGAAGATCTCTCAGTAATAAAAGTACAAAAAGCTACTCTTTGCAATATGAAAAATTGAGGTATTGCATAAAGAGATATCCCGTCAGTGAAAAGTGTGCCTAAAAATGCTCACTGTTGGAAAAACAAGATATACAAAAGTAGTGCATAACAAATATACATTATGTGCATGACAAAATAAGTTAGCTACAAAAACACTGTACCGAAATTCAGCAGGTCATGTACAAAGGGAAAATTATTATTCAAAGCTAGTTCTCAAACAGTGTTATTTCTTGTAATGGTAACCCATCTCACCTGTTTACTGGGTAGGATCGGCACAATAGCACACCCCAAGCCATCTAATAAGCATTAAAAAAATTAAAAGGAACATTCCAACTATAATTATGGACTTCAGAGAAAAAAAAGTCCCTGACAATCTACACAAGAGCACTCTCCATTTGCATTACTGTTGTCAATATTTTCAGGGATTTCATTAAAAGCAGCTCCCTTTCTTTACTTGACTAGTAGACAGCAAATGTCTCCATTTTGACCTTTGGAACTTAATAAGGTATAGTTCATTAAAGCCTGTATTGAAAATAAAAACTGCTTCTCATAAAGATAATCTTGAGGGTTAGGGGGCTCACAGAGTAGATGTTTTCTGCAGCGCTGAGGCAAATCTTTGGTTTGAGAGAATCTAGGATGGTACCATGCCAGTCAGACAGTTTAGAAGATTGCCGTTGGATTGGTTTGTTTTGCACACTGCTACACAATCATTTTAAAAGTTGACCAGGGCATTAGTTAAAATCAAGTTTGGAAGTCTATGCCCCTTCCAGGGGATTAAGAGACTATTTCAAACAAAACCCCCACCTCACCCCTAAGCATTCAGTTATCATGTATTGTGTTAATGCTTCTCAAGCTGGAGTTTATTTATAATAAAGCATGCATTAACTTAGCAAAGTTGGCACTTCAGACACCTGTAATTCTTTATTTCCCCATGCTAAGTTCTGAAGAAAAGGATTCTTAGTTAGGATTCTCTCTACAGGAAGAGTAAGATAGGCATATGCCTCTTTGCACAGATTTACACACTTATTAGTTCAGCAAACAGTGCAAAACAGACTTAGACTACTTAGCTTTGTTCTATTTATGCTTTCTACCTTATAGCTAGCTAAGTTAGAGGATATTAAAACTGACTTTACATCCAAGAGTAAAACCAATTAGCAGCCAATTTTTAGTCTGTGATACAGTGGAATACCAGAACTTAGATAAAATCAGTGATATCCTTGAGGTATCTTATTTTTCATGTCAAAATGGAGAGCAAAGGCTGTCCCCTGATGAATGTTAGTATATTAGCATATAGAGTTATATATAACCATCAAAAATAAAATCTATACATTTGTCCTTCAGGAGAGGAAATGCCAGTTTACTAGTTGTTATTACTCTAGCTTTGGTAGGATTTCTAGGGCAGTAACCAGACAATTGAGTTCTCTCTCTTTTTAATGAAAAGTAATAAGTGCACTCCCCCCGCCCCACACTCCACTCAGTAGTAATTTTACCCAACTTTTATATTTGGGAACCTTTAAATGGTAATTGTTTTGATAAAATATACTAAGATCTGCCTATTTGATTAGTACTTTGGATGTGGTTGAAAGTTGGAGACATGGTGAGATATATCCTGTGCTAAAAATTCAGCCTCAAAACCCTTAACATAAGTAAAAATAATTGTTATAATGCTGCTTTAACCTTGCTCATGCATTTTTGTTGCTTTAAACATGCGCTTTCCTAGGCAGTTGCTAGCTTCTTTCATTGCTGTAAAATTTAACAGTAAGAAAAGGCAAAAAAAAAAAAAAAACCCAGGCTTCCCTTGGCGGGGCGAAGGAGGGGAGTGTCAGAACAGACTGATAGTGTTATTGTTGCATGGTTATTTTAATAAAAGTATTCTTATGTTTTTATTAACAATAATTTAATTAAAAAAACAAAATACTCTATTATTTCATTTCTCTTTTCTTAACATTTTTTTCTCTCCTCTATGAAAACGTTGCATGAAGTAAGTGTCCTCTTGATACCAAAGACAAGAGGATGTAACTTACATGCAACATGTTATCAATACGAAAAGGAGTTCCCAATACAGTTTTCAATGACAAGATTCTACAAAATACCCATATTATAGGTCATTCTTTCATTATACTATTGTTAAATTACAGACTACTACAAAAGGACATGCTATCTTGAATAAGGGGGATTGTGGGGAGGGATCAGGATAACAGAAGAGTGCACTTATTTTGAGGCCTGCATATGAGCACTGCAGTAATCTTTTAGTTCCAGCGGAATGAAATATGTCTTGGGCGATCTCCTCCCTCCTTCACCAGGGGCTTGTGGAATTCCCTGCCAGCGCGTGAATGGATAGCAGCCCAGCAATATTCACAGTAATACTGCAGACAGGTAACATTAGCACAGAAAAATGGAGCAAATTTTCCACCACAACGGGCCCCCTGACATTCATCACACAGTTGATCATCCAAGACATATGGCTTAACTTCCACCTGCATTCAAAAAACAAGAAAGTTTACAATACTTAGTAGCTGTGCAGGTGATGCTCTCAATGTTTGCCGTTTTTGGTTGAGAGTCAGTTTAAGAGAAGAACTAGCTGCTGAAAATCAATGTTGCACAAGCAGTTATCAGCACATGGGTGAATCAACTTGTTTTATTCCAGAACGTGTGTGAACAGATTCATATTAAAATCAAAGGAGGACGCTGGGGATTTATTTTAAATATAGTTACAGGCATTATTGTTCACAAAATTTCCTTTCAGCCAGGAATGTAAATTATTTACACAACATTAAAATTGCAGCTTAAGCACTCAAACATTTGAAAAGTCCAAAGTCCATATTTCCACTTATTTGCAAGTTTCATTCACACCTTTAACAACAAATGCTACATTTAGTTTGTTTCGTTTTCCTTTGGTACTTCAACTTAGTCCAGTCAGCAGTAGGAGATGTAACTAATCTACTTGTTTACTATTAGTGAGACTAGAACTTGATAGATTACACAATACAAGTATACAACTGACATCAAGGACAAGATTCTGAGCAATCTAGCCCTTATGTGCCACTCTGGCACAGGAAAAAAAAAATGCAGAAAGGAACACAGATCTTCCTAGCTAAGGATTCTCTTGCTATGGAAGAGTTCTGACTACTGTACACATAGTTCCCATGCCAATCCCTATATATGGAACAAGGAGGGGTAGAGAAAGGACCATGGTCAGAGCATGCTACACTCTTGCAATTCCCAGCTAAAGATGACCCACTGGGGACCCACCAGCTGGCATATTTTGTAGTAGCACAGAGAGGCTGCTCTAAAAGTACACTGGGGACTGGGCCAAGATAGAATAGGCCCCAGATTCAGGGAGCTGCATCCAGCTCTATTGTGGTTCCTCCTCTCACCTGCATCCAAAGGAAGCCAGTCACCACTAAGAATTTAATCTATATCTAACTAGCCAGCAGAACTGCCAGTTTCATTTTGAGAAATTAGTACAAGTGAGCACAGAGCCAACAAGCTCCCTTTTGAAGATGTGAAGGGAGGATGTGAACTGATGTCAACTATATTCTTGCCACTCTCATTGTTAGACACAGAAAGCTGGGGAAGAAAATCCTATTGACACTAAGTGAAGGAGTAATGGGGAGAACCTTTCCAGGTTCCAAGAGGTGGTCATAAATATGCAGTCAGTGTTACTCAGTACTGTGTATCTGGAAGAAGATGAATGTTTTGATGCTCATCTCTGAAGTCTAGGGCTTGGTCTACACTAAACCCCCTAACCGTACTAATGTACGCACCTTCCCTTAAATAAAAAACCTAGCGGAAGTCGATGTGCTTTA